TATCTACGAAATAAATCTTAATTACAAAAAGTTTCAAGTCATGTTTTTATGGCTGTGATAATGCGGCTTGTATATAACATTTTGAAAAATGTTTAAAAATGTCTTATAACAGTAGAAAGAAAAATTCAATAACACTGCCCCTTTATATTTAAAACATAGTTATGGAGACCTTAATAATTGTTTTGATTATTATAATTGCAATTAATAATTTCACTCTATTTCTTTATTACATATAAAGATTGTGTAAAAGTTAAAATATAAAAGATGTTAAACGTTTCTGTGTACCATAACTTAGTTTACATCATCATAATATCACGTAAATTACAATCGACTTTTCCGGCGCCTTGCAAATTGTGTTCTCAAAATGTAATCGCTGTAAAGAATGAAAAGCAAAGTTAGTATAAACTTGTTTGCTAACATGATATTTACTTGTGTTATTTTCCTCTTAACTTTGTAAAAAGGTTTGTTTATAGCATAGAACAGGAAATCGCTTCTGAGACGGAGTTGTTTAGAAAATAAGTCGGAACATCGAAGGATATAAAGTACAACAACGAGCCATTCCCCGGGGAACCGTTGATTCCTTTCTATCACTATTTGATAGAATCGAATCGATTCCATTCATTTTTCTTCGCTTGTATAGCGAAGCTTCGCATGCATAAATAAAGGCATTCTGAATAACTTATCCGCTTGTAGTAGTTGTGGAAGCCAATACAATAAAGCAAACAATAAGGTTAAGCTTTCAACAGCTTTATAGTCGGACGTCGACCGGCGCAGTCCACGCTCCGTACTGGCTGAATGCCTACTCCCGGCAGATGGCTCTTGTAATTTGTTGTATTATCTAAGTTGTGCTATGAACTGCAAGTTTTAGTTAACAACTAGCTAACTGCACCAAAAGATTTTTTAGTCCTGGAAAATCATCTCGAGTGGAGCTCTACACGAGAAAACTTAACTTTTTTATTACTCTACCAACATAATGTTTGCGGAATAGGAAAAACATTATCACGGAACGTTGCCAGAAAGTGAAATAAAATACTAAACGACGCCATTACACCTACGTTCTCATTTTTTTATTCTATTGTACTTACCATAAGTATTTTCTGTGTACGCTACGTTGAATTTTAATCGATATACTCTTTTCTTTTTTACGTTATTACAAATAAAAATTGGCAACGTACCGTTGAATATGAAAGTAATAATGTCTTAAAATATAAATAATATCATCGAGTTCGGAAGTAGAATGGATCGGAAGGCGGGACGCTTGCCAAGCCAGCCAATGAACTGTCAAAGATCATGTGAAATACAATCACAAGTTCCGGAAATTCAGTTAAAGCGAAATAAAACAAGGAGTAGTTCGGGTTAGCGCGATTAAACGTTACTGCAACACGGATTTACCCGAGTCCGTAACTGTAACTTGAATGCTCTTTGAATTACGAGACAATGCCGCGCGCCAGCCCTGAACAATGGCGAGCCGAAGTACATCACTGTCTTGTAACACGCAAACAGGTCGATCAGAAACCCGACATTGTACATAACTACTTCCTTTTGTTGCGATATAGCAACGGATAGAAGGTCTAGACAGTTTAAGTTGAAGAAACTCATTATTATATCTCTTTCCTGGTTTGTCTTTAACATCGTAAAATTTTATGTTTCGACTCGAATAAAGTTGCCACCCTGTTGTTGCTATCCAAGTTTTCAGCACAAAAATATATAAGTTTTCATAAACTAAAAATGATTTTATTTTAAAAAATCAGTCAAATACTGTGTCAGAGCTTAAAAATTACCAGGGCAATAGTATCCGAGATTAGACGACCTATATAAGTGTAAACACGATGATTACATATGACAGCGTAACCAGTCATCGCACTTATCAGCAGACAAGATAGCATAGCAACGACAGGCTGTGACGTAGATGACATGCTGATGGACTGTAATGACAAATCCGGAGCGCGCGGCACGTTTGCCTGGCTGATTGTTCTCGCAGGCAGGCCGGGGGCCGCCGGCCGGTGCACGCTAATGTAGTCGGCCTAGCAACGCTCACCAGTTCCATTCACCTCTCACCGAGCTTGAACGTTCATGTGTCGAATGCGGCCGCGCCCAATTCAAACCAATTCGACTAAATTTGACGCAAATAGACACGAAAGGCACATCAACTATCTGCATGAAAACTATCGTATTTCGCATATGAAATGTTTGAATTATATGAACTAGCTTATCATTCGATCCGTAACTCTCTTTATGAACAACCAAATCAAATAACTAGAGTATTCTTTGATATGCTCATAATTAATGAAGAGAAAACCCTAGCGATAAGTCGAAGTAATACTGAAAGGCCACTAGTAGTGCTTCGATTCATTCGATATCTACAAAATAAGTAAGGCAAATTAGATTTCCAAGAACGACTTTGACGACTACCCTATATTACGACGTTTTTCTATAAAAAGTTACACCTTAAAATCAACATTTAAAATACTCCGAATAGTCCACGACCGGCCTATTACGTTTCAGCCGATTAAACAAGGCTCTATTCCATGTCTCCATGACAACCAAGTCATCCCAGTGTGGACATCTCAAATATGCACTTGCATGTCTCGTTTCAATAAAAGACTACACGAGAGCGAGCGTTGAAACTTAAATCGTAAAATGTGATCTAAGGACCAATGATCAAGCAATTTGTCACAAAATGTAATGTGGCATAGCCACGGCTCAGGTGCCGAACAAGGTCGTGTGATAACGTCAATACAATGGCCGACGTTTCCCACGATGTAAATTGCTTAGTGATGTCATCGTCGTTTACAGGCTAATACTAAAACATACTTATCATAGTGCCAGTGCACTGTTGTGATCATTATTACGTTTGTTTAAAAATCGATCTGTCTGCGCACAGCACGAATTTAAGACGCACCAGCTCGGCTATGTTTTACATTACATCGCCAATGTAAAGTACATTAACCATACCGATATGATTATTTGACGAAAATTGGATTAGGGTACTTCAAATAAGAAGTAGCAGTGAAAAACTAAAAAGAACTACTTATTCGCCTTCTTAAAAGATAAATATCACAAATAGGTATTGACAAAAGTATAATATAAAAATATGTAAACATCTTCACATACACGTTTAAATTGGTTATTAATTAATTTGTTGGAAATTGTATGGAGTTATATATAATTTCTTGCGCTAGGGATTTTAACGTGCGTCAAATCATGTGTAAAAGTTTAGCTTGTTTTATATTATCAAATGGTCGACCATGTGCCAACCGCCCGGCCACACACATGTGTTTACTGGTCACGTGGATGGTTAGCTTTTTGACCGCCCTCGCACGAACTCGCCGTAATATCTGATAGATTACCTCTCGCATATCAAGTTGTTTCTCATAATGAATGTCTCATGAAATATGGATATGACCGTATAGCCGGTAGTACTTTACGACTACAGCCGGAATATTGTTGTATAAAACAAATTTACAAGCGTCGCGTCGCATATGAAACGGACTGTGCGGTTCTAGGAAAGATTTTGCCGATTAAGAAGGCAGCGTGGCCGGAGGTGACGCGACGGGGGGACGCATTCACTGCCTTTCACTTCCCGCTTTTGTTACACAGCCACTCTACACGACGATAAGGCAGACGGCCTTGTAGCTCGCGTGCCTGCTAGCTGTCCCTTGCCGATTGACATAACTTTTTGTCTATACATGAATATTTAATTTGCCACCAGTATGTAGGCGAAAATTTTACCACTGCTGGTTTGCTACCGAGCTGTTCTGGCCAAAAAGAAGGCCGTAAACATGACGTCACGGTCAAGGAAAATACAAATAGCTCCGAGGCCATTATAGATGCGGTCATGTAACATTCGCATGTGCTAGAGCGAGGTTCCAGGGCCGCGGTGACCTTGGCTTTTGAGCGGCGACTTTCACGGTTAGACGGCCGCAGTTACATAAGATGCGCGCGCGCAGCCATCGCCGCTTCGTGACGACATCGCGACCACTCACCGCCCGGTCGACCAGTTTCAACAGATACAACAATAGAATTAAGTAACAGCAATTTATTAACAGATGCTGCGTTTGCTTATGTTTGATCCAATAATTTCTCAAACGTTAGATAATGCTAAGCGTACTCTGTTTAATTCAATAAGTATCCAATGAAAATTATATTGAACGTTAACTCACGCATGACCCTATCTTCTTTAAATTAGAAACCGGTTCCTACAATCGAATCAGTTAACAGCTGATTAAAGTAACGATTTAACGTGTCAGAAAATCACTATTCACAAAAGGTCAAGTACGTTAGGCAACCATTATATTATCCATAAATCCATATAACATTATACAAAAATACTTGCATCGTTGGCTTTGAATTCGTCTACGAAACGAAACAAGAAAACATTCGTATATAACTTTTTAATCACAAACTAAATTTTAGTAATGAATCAACTCAATAGTAAGCGAGTGCAAATGGATTACCTACAAATTCACGTTATTTATACACGGCCACTGTTGGGTTCGCAAATAAATATTGTCTGGTTTTCCGATATACGAACATGAATTGATTTAACGTAATCATATTTACAGATCAAACGATTTATCTTGACATCTATTCCAATTCGTTTGATCAGCGTGCTGTTGTGTACGACTGAAATAAATTCATTAAAATGACAGATCACTTACGTCGTTTGATTTCTGTATTTCAACAAAGTGTTGGCTTTCATAAAAGCCATTTTTATATGAAACCATTTGTCAAAATTGACATTTACGAGTATCAGTCGTTTGCAGTCGGTATATATTTTATTTTTGTCCACCTTCATATTTCGTCCTCAATTTTGCACATAATGTACCTTTGGCATTAAACTGTGGCAAATTGTTAGCTTCAGAAGTAATATGTTATATTAAAACCGATGGTACACAATGACTTACCTACCACAACTACAGAAAAACCACTTGATAGAAGCTTGTAATATGCTAATAAAGTGTCATATGTATTAACGTGTGTGTTTCTTTGTATTGCAGGTACAAGAGCGGGGTGCGCTCAGTGAGGGGCGGGGGCGGCGGGGCCGGCGCGGGCGCGGGGGGCGGCGGCCTCAAGGCGCTGCCGAAGCGCGCCCGCACTCGCTGCAGGGGAATGAACATGGGCCAAAAGCTGTCCGGCGGAGTAAAGTCGGTGTCGCGCGAGTGCACGGCGCCATTCAAAGCAGTGGTGGCGCGCGAACTAGCGCCTGAGCCGCCGCGGCCCGCGCGCCTCGACGCGCTGCTGGACGCGCCGCCCGCGCACCCCGACCTGCAGCATAAACACGCATGGAATCCAGAAGACAGGTAAACATCTCTCTGTAGCTACTGACATACAAGTTTCTCGGGTAATAACAATTCTTTATTTCTCATGTCTTTCTTCTATATTAATTGGACTAGAAGATACTGCTTACGGTGGTCGCTCGACTGTGACAAATGTGTGATTGTCCGTCGCCATTTATTAATATAAAATCGTCTCACACATTTTAACTAAGCATATTTTTCACTTAATGTTTTTTGAAATCGATTATTCAAATGAGGTTTATTGATATTTGGTGACTTATTCACACTAAATAATATTGAATTAAATTTTATCTGTCATCTCAACGATTAGGATATAGGACCTGACGGATTCGCTATTTCTTATTCAATTGAAATACGAAAGACGACAAAGTTCGTTATCGATTCAATAGAGTATTTGCGCCGTGCACAGATTTCCGCCAATTGAACCGGTTTTTCCTTTTACATTCACTTAATACTTAATGAACTCCATAGTGTTGTTAATAGAGGCCGCCTGGCCCACTGCTCTGAATCGCTGCTTATTGAATCGCAGACCACGCAACCATTCTCCCGGAGTACCTAACTCGTCAATTTTTTTCTTTAGTAATAAAAGTCAGATTTCAATGTCACACTGCAAAAGTACTATTACACTCTATTTTCTTTTTCTTTAAGATCTTAAGTAGTGATGTGTTGGATATCCGATAAACCCGGCACATCACGAATCTAGGCACGACTGATGTAATCCTGTTCTTTATCCTGTATTGCTATTATAGACTCTACCTTTTATGTACAGCCAGCTGCATAAACTTTAGAAACTAGTACAGGCCTTCGATTTAAAAAACACGCATGCAAGAATCCGTTAATAGCACGTATTCATGGTAGATGTAAGGACGGCAAAGTGCATACGTATTTTTGAAACCGAAAGTGTAGAAAAGTTTGTGAAGGTTCGAAGTAATACATTTTGACTGTACGAGTATAAATATAAAGGGCATCACAAACTATGCATTATAACAGTATTATACTAGCACACCTGTGTTGATTATAACATTCACAGTTCACTCTTTGATTACAATAGCTGCTTTATTCATATTGAATCATTATTATTAATAAGTATCATTCCCGTGACCTTAGGTTATCTATGACCGCATACATAATTCCAAGAATTACCTTGTAGTTTGTTACGAATATTATCTTACTAATATTATAAATGCGAATGTTTGGATGTATGAATGTTTATTAGTAGGTATCTCCAGAACATCTGCAAGGATCTTGCTGAAATTTGACATAAATGTAGATAGAGTATAACCTGGAAAAACACAAAGGCTTTTTATTAAGATTTTTTTTAATTCCGCGCGAACGCATTCGCGGGCCACAGCTAGTGATACATATTTGTAAAGTGTTCTGTTTATATATACTATGTCGATCGTGAATTACTGCAACGAAGTAGGTACATTAAGTTTTTCCTTAAAGCAAAAACAGTTCCGCACTGTCGTGTGTAGATATTATTGCTAAAACCATTTGTGCGTCAGTCAATCGGGATTACTGCGAAGTCTAGACCGATTATAATAAACATTAATTAATAACAAGCCGTGGTTAATAGCCACGATATAGTTATTCAACTACAATTACTAATACACATTGGTTAGGACATTTTTGTGAGGTTAAGAAGAGGATAAGATCTGATTTTTTAATTCATCTGCTCACGAGTACATCCCTGGATTCGATATATTACATTAAAATGATAGTAATTAATACATAACAATAAAATTGTATCCAAAATGTAGGCAAACAAAAAAGGCGGAATAGCGTAGTATTTTAGACATACATAATGAATGAATATGTTATTCATTATATACATAATAACATATTTATTCATTATGTATGTTAGCCTGACCAGAAAAATATACTTCGCCATATTGCGGAAAAATATGGAACTAATTTCTTTCGCGCATAAAGCTTTTATGTTTTTTTATGATTTGTATTGAGGTAGAAAAAGCAAGAAAGGTGTGTCAGGATAACGCCAGATTGAGGTCTGTGCTTTGCCCATCCCTCTGAATAACAGGCGTGAGTTATGTTGTTGTTTTTAGTTAAACTATACTTAAAATATAATATAAGCTTTAATTTATCCGCATTGCACGATCGTGCTGTAGAGTTTCAAAGCTTAGTCGGCACGCGGCGAGCGACGCCATTGTGTGTTGGACGTGATATTTATAATTTAATTCCTCAAAAGGCACGCTAAGCCGATCAAGCTCGCGCTATCTTTCTCAAGTGAACCTAACAACCAAGCCTAAAAGGGTTATTAAAACTTAGATCTTTTAAATTAAATCTATAGCACCCTGTAGTGTTGAGGGTTCCAAAGTTTATGAAAACATCACGTGCAATTCACTTATTAACTACTTACTGCAATGTACATAGGGACCGTCGATATACATTTCTATAAATTTGTGTACTTTAGCTAGCATAAGAGGGAAATGAATTCCGACAACGACAAACTTAATAATTTCATCCAGATCTGTAATGGTTGTTATAATATTAGGCAAATTCGTGCATTTATAATATTAGTAAAAACTCGTAAGATTACACTTACAAAGTGTGAACATTTCGTTTCTGTAGGTCTGTTTGTAGTACCTTCTAAAACGTATCGTCCAATTTCGTGGCGGCCTCCATAATCGAAATCTAATATTTGCCCGATCGCTTGTAGCACTGTTTCGAGGAAATCGATCAAGCTGCTCCGAGATAATGAGCTTTTTGTACTTTCAAAGGCCCTTCAGGTTCTTGTGTTTCAGATTAACACTTTTTTCCCGTAAATTATGCGAGTCGTTCTCGCGAAGAAATTGTGTTATGAAATTATTTATGAATGTTTTTGATAACGAAAATATGATATTACATGATTATTATTATAAGTTTGTATTCGTATGACAAACATTTCAGCATTGTTATTTAAGGAAAACAAACAAAACTTATTATATTTCTTTGTCATGAAACATTAAAAAAATAAACAAAAATCTAACTTTAATTGTTTTCATTATCTAGGAAGTTATAATGTTACAAAAAAAAAATCTCATAAAGATTACAAAATAACTATTTAAATTGTAATTGACTGTATAGCATGTGCTCTTTAAATCCGATAAACACAAAAGAAGTGGCAGGGCATAGACAATCATACAAGAGACCTTCAGACTATGTCCTTGCCTATGTAAAACAACAATTTGGTTGATGCTTTATACGTTTTTGTAGAAGGTTGTTTCATCGATAAGGCGAGTCGTTAGGTCGCGCGCCACCGGCCGCCCCCAGACGCGTTTACTTTCAAATATTCATGTCCAGACCCGGTCACTTTCAACTCATTTAATAGGCCATGTGGCCTTTTAAATTGTTCGCTTGCCATTTTTAATTTCACATGACTTTTATTCTTACTTCTAATACTAAAACTGTAATTAAATATTTATATACAGTAAAAGCTCCTTATTCGCGCTTCCTTCATTCGCGGATGAAAATATACGACCCAATTATAATATTCGCGACTAAAGATTTCGTTTTTCACGAATCTAATTACTACATAAATAGTAATAAAAATGATTTCAGTAGGCATCCAACCCAACCTTTATAAACGCCGTCAAATGAAGCAGTAATTCTTCTAATAACTACTAACTAATATCCAGCGATCCTGTGAGGTGATATTAAATTTATTTTCTATTTTCTCTGGTATATACCAATGGGTTCTCCTACTCAGATGTGTCAGAGTGTTGAGTGCAACGACACCGTTGGCTTGGGATCATCTTTTAATATAGAACTTTGTATAGGACGGGAGTTAAGACAGCCAAGGTCAATCATTACTTCAAAGGTTAGCATTGTATTGCCTAAGACCCCATTTATCTCGAGCTTGAGAACCTAAAGTTGTTTTGACTTGAAGAGTTTCGTCTTATTTTATAATGAACGCTTACACGACTACTTCTGAGAAACGTTCCTATTCAACCACGACCGAGTGGTGCGACTTCCTAGCCTCCGGGCCTCGCTTCAAACGAATTCTTACGATTTTTTAGTCCCCACATTCAAAGTAAGTTTCTCTAATAAAATTTCATGCAAAAGTTTATTTAACTTCTGATTGCTTCCAATCAAGAATTTTTTGCCAGCCCTTCTCGTTTGTAAGAAGTACGAGTATTCAACTTCAGAATGTAAATACATATAAATGTGGTTGATAGTTTGTCACGACAATTTATTTAAATATCGTCAGCCACTATTAATTGTATCATTTGGTGAATTGGTACGTGAAATGAAAATGAAACCATGCAAATCATTTGTTCATATTTGATCTGATATCTGACAGTGACGATGTGGAATATAGTTTTTCTTGCATTTTCTGTACTAATGGGTATGTGTATTTTATTGGCAGATCTCTGAACATCTTCGTGAAGGAGGAGGACGCGCTGACATTCCACAGACACCCCGTGGCGCAGAGCACGGACTGCATCAGGGGGCGCGTGGGATACTCGCGGGGACTGCACTGCTGGGAGGTGGTGTGGCCGGCGCGCCAACGCGGCACGCACGCCGTCGTCGGCGTCGCCACCGCGCATGCACCGCTGCACTCAGTCGGCTACCAGAGCCTCGTCGGCGCCACTGACCAGAGCTGGGGCTGGGACTTGGGAAGAAATAAGGTAAACATAACAACTTCTGTAATAACTATTCCAGATTCAATTGTTTGGACTTCGAATTAGTAAAACTAACAGTGTATGTTTTTGTGCGTTGCAGGTGTATCACAATGCGAAGGGCACGGGCGGCAGCGGCACCACGTACCCGAGCCTGCTGCGGCCCGACGAGCAGTTTCTGGTGCCCGACCGGCTGCTCGTCGTGCTAGACATGGACGAGGGCACGCTCGCTTTCTGCGCCGACGGCCGCTACCTCGGCGTGGCGGCGCGCGGCCTTCGCGGCAAAACGCTCTACCCCATCGTCTCCGCCGTCTGGGGCCACGCCGAGATCACTATGAAATACATCGGCGGACTCGATCGTAAGTTCTCACTCTCATTTAAAGCTATGAAGTCACCCTTTTAGCGAGATTTAAATTCAAACGTTACTTTCTTTCAAAGTGTGCTAATTTTTAGCATTTTGCTTCGGATTATATATGGTATAATTTGACTGTTTCAGCTGAGCCACTGCCGCTAATGGAGCTGTGCAGGCGCGTGATACGACAGCGCGTGGGGCGCAGCAGACTGCGCGCGGCCGCATCTCGCCTCGCGCTGCCGCCCGCGCTCACCGCGTACCTGCTGTACCGCGCGCCCTAGCGCACCCCGCGCCCCCCGCGCCCCTCGCGCACCGCCACTGCCACAGCGACAGCGTGTGACGTCACAGAGGCAACGCCCACTGCGGCTGACGTCACGCTGGCGCAAGCGACGTCGCAGCGAGCCGCGCCCCTGCACCAGCTGCAGCCCTCCGCCTCGCGACACCGCGCCCTCCTCTAGCACACGACAACCAGCCGCTGCCTGCCACCACAACATCTGTACCGCTACTCTCCACACCCCGGAAATACTCGCTCAACTTAATTCTTTACTAAAATGAAATGTGTTCTAACAGTTGGCATATTATTTGCAGCTATTTTTATAACAAAAGTCGCTTTGTATCTTCATATTCACAATCAATGGCGGTGGGCAGACGTGCGGGGGGAGGGGAGGTGAGGGGAGGGGGGTATTGCCCGCTCGGCAAGCTAGCACATATAAATTCGTAGACATGTAGTCATATCCTATACAGATTGATTCGGGCGCGGCTGTCACTGCGCCGCTGCGTTATACATAACAACTGTACCAATTTCTAAACGACTATACTCCACAGCTTACATACAACAATATATGACCAATACATACATATAGTAGACTATGAATAATTTATCATTTTGGTCTCTATTCAATCCTTAGATGTTTAAATCTTGTTATTTGCTGAACACGATTTTTTTTTAATTCTGTGCTAATTTTATTCCCTACAATGCAACTCTCGTTAACAAACGTAAATAAAACAAACGCATAAAGTAAAAAACGGCACAAGAATGTAAACCTGCGAGTCGCGTCGTTTCGTGATTGGTACAAGCTTCCAGCGCTATTTACTTTCACACACTACAATTTCAACATACCAGCATACCTTAATTTTTATTTTAATGTTATCTGTGATAATTATACTTTAAATAACAAAAAATCCGCAGATTGAATCGCTTAATCGTTAATCGACTTTTTTTTAATTAAATTTACGTCTTTAAAAAGCCTGATATATTAATAGTGCTCATTGAATTAGGATGTTTTTATTCAGTTCCGACGCAGTAATAAAATGGTGTGCGAATATGGTAATGTACCGTTACCGATTGACAATCTATGGACGATTTAATGTACGATATAATTTTTAGGTTAGAAACGGCATTAATTAATTACCAAATTTGTCTCGTTAACATTGACCAAGTGTAATGCAAGCCGCACTCTCGACGCCATATTGATCTCTGAAGGACACGTGTTAATGCGGACTGCGACAACTCACAAGCCTCGGCAATTATTAATATTAGAGATGTCTTTGTTATTGCAAGAGCAGCGGCGCTGACCGCGGGGACTAACCTTTGTAACGAATCGAATTTCTAAATCGCAATAGTGCATACATGAATCTCGTGAAATGTTTCGTGAAGTTGTAATCAGTATCGATTAGGTGTAACAAAGTGCAGGCGGCCCCGCGGCCCGGCGCCCGCCGCGCTCGCGCTAGGCCAGTGTATCGTTGGCGAATTTACATACTATTTTATAGCTCATTAAGTGACTGGTTTTATTTTTAGTTTAGTATTTTTAATTCCTATTGTAAAAATCGTGTGACTGTGTGGTGTATATATTTACTTTGCTACACGGATTACTTAGTTGTACGATTATGAAGATATTTTGCTAAAATTATTTGTCGAGCACTCGAGTGCCCGCGTTATTCCGTGTGACGTCTTCTTTTTTATATTAGATAACTATAAAACGCAATAAATTTATCAAAATTAGTATTTTCAAAGCACCATACTAAAAATGTCAGCCATTTTGTTTTGATTCGAATTAGTTGATAAAAGCGTGTATGAATAAGTACTTCCATTTTAATAAGATTTTTTCATATGTAGAGTGTACGGCAAGTAGACATCCGACGTTGACTCACTTTTGTACTCGTCAGTATTCACATTCCATCTCCAGCGCAGGAAAATGTATTGCTTCACTACTTTATTTTGTAATAAAACGAGTGTTATGTGAATATTGAACACTGTGAGGAAAAGTATATTATTAACTGCCAAATGCGATACGTGTGTTGATGTATGAATGTTTGTATGTCTGTGCGTGTGTGTGTGACGTGTTCCGAGTCCTTTAGTGAACGCATGTTCCGTGAAGGCTGTTCGTGTAAAGTCTGTGCGTTAGAAGTATATTTTCGTTGTGTAAGAGATATAATCATGATATAAATACACCAAGATCGATGTACTATTGATGCATCCCTCGTGCCGGACCCGCGCCGGACTCGTGCCGGACTCGCGCCTCACTCGCCCCGACTAATGTTTAAGTTTTATTTTGCAACAATTTAACATGTCTCTATTCCAAGGGTCCGTTGCGAAGGATTCAAATTAATATTATTATATAAATAAGCGTTTGAATTCTGTGAACCGTCAAACTTTTAGTCCTGTATATAATTATATCATTTTGCGGTGTTTTAACGACTTTTTTTATTATAAGAGGAAATGCATTTTAGTTTTATAAGTTGTAGGCAATATATGAAGTGGTCATTTCTAACAGTCAACTGCGATTGACAGTCGGAATCTCTTAGATACAATGATTTAAAAAAAAATAGGAAAACGATTGGAATAAATATAACTGGTTAAGAAAATAATAAATGATATAAATTAACGTGGATTTTATTCATTTTCAAACCTTTTCCCGAGTCTGAAATGCAGTGGACGAAAAATATTCTAGAAATTTTATTATAACATTTTGAACAACCAAGGTCAAAAATTGCAAAAGCAAAGGCAAGAATGTAAAATAAAGAGTCATTGATTTTTTTTGTATAATTTTAATGAGTAATTATAATAAAATTATCAAGTTTAAAAATTATATAATAAATTAAGTCTTCGCAGTAAAATCATTTTTCAGTTAAACAAATATCACTTATGGATCATATTACTACTTTTCACGCCTGAGATTCTAAAAGTAATTTGAAGAAATACAGAGTTTTTAAATGTTATGTATCGACTTTTTGAGTAACTTTACATATTGGCTATCTCAAAAACCAACCCAAGCGTAAAACGTAGAAAATTAAGTACTATGCCTAAAATGTACTTCATTAGACCCTAAACAAAAAGAAATGTTTTTTTTTCTATTACAATAACTGTTCATGTCAAAGAAACAATAACATGTTTGACAATTTTACACATTACATTATGCATGCACATTAAATTAAATATTATTTAATTACAAATAAATTCATAAGAGAAATTGGAATGTATTTTGTATAGTTAAAGAAAAATAAAGTTTCGAGGGAGGGAAAAAATAGAGGGAATAATCTTCATAAAGTTTTCGTAACGTCATTGAAATTTGTGCAGCGCCTATCGTGCATAGCGTACCAATAAATCTCATGTCGTAAATATTCGTGCTAGGTTTTCAGTTCCTTCATCCAAGCTACCATTTTGAGCACATTTTTTTATAAAATACTGATACAGGACAATATAAAAACTATGAATTAACTATTATTAGGTAAAAAGTCGTAGGTAAAATAAAAAGAAACTGAACTGAAGATCGTTAAAAAAACTGCGATTTCTTCATATTTAACAAAAGAACCTACAAGTTAATACTTAAGAAAGGAACATAGCTTCTTCATAGTTTAAAAAGAAAACTGAGCGTTCTTGATACTTTCTAAAATGCAGCAGTTGTAAATGATCGTCGCAGTTCAGTCGCAGAGCGTGTGGTGATCTAGCACGGTGTCATCGCTGATGAGTATGGTGTGCTCGTCTGCGAAGTCCTGCGGCAAGTCTATCTGTGCGCTCAGTTCCTGCAGGCTCTCAATCAGCTCGTTCAATGATGACTGCAATAAAATACTTTTACTAATGCCTGCAGTGTGTATTAAGCTGTTCAAACGAAAAAATTATAAATTCAAAAATATTCAAATCCATATTAATTTCTAAAGTTACTGATGAAAAATACCTTCCAAATATAAAACGTAAAATTTAACCACTTAGTCGTAGAAAAAAACTTACAGTTGTTTCCTCAAAGTCTTTCAAAGCCTCATCGGAGACCACCTCCTGGCCCTCGATGTCTTGAGCCAGCACTCTGAGGTGCGCCGGCAGCAGGCTCTTGTCCAGCTCACCCGTTGTTTTGTTTCTGATAATTCTGAAGAAGACAACTTCTGATGTAAATAATGGCTACAATCGAGTGGGTTTGTTTTTGTAGATGTTTGTATGTATAACCTGAGTATCCTGCGACGCGTGAGCTCCGGTCCGGCGAGCACAGTGAGTGCGGCGAGCGCGGCGGCGGGCTGCGTGCGCGCGCGTCGCTCCACACGCGCCCAGTCCACGCGCAGCTGCAGCGTGTGTCGCCGCCGCGCTCCCACCACGCACCGCGCGCCCTCCAACACCGCGCTCTCCTCGCAGCACCGGTACTGCACTGCGATATATACAACTTACACATTTATACTCGGTTTTAGAATTGCATAACAAAGAAACGACATTTTGCGTGATAAATTCATATGGCCCAGTTACAGTGGAAATATTATGGTGGTTAGTTCGATTAGAAAATATGTAAAAAGTACTAAGGAGTTACATAATGACATGATAAGACAGAATGAAACAAGCTGGTTTTGGTACTTTTTTGTAAGGAATTCTTGCATTTTTATCTTGCAGTTTGCCTTTGGAAGACTCACAGCTGAACCTGATGTGTGCGCAGAGGAAGGCGGGCACGTTGTACTTGTTGTAGAGCGGCAGTGCGAGCGGCTGCCTCGCCACAGCGCGCACCAGCGCCGTGTCCCCGTACGTCACCAGCCCGCTCCAGCGCACGCACGACCCGCTGCATGCACCGAACAGCTGCACCTGGAACATAATATTAAACAACATTGAAAACTTAAACATCTTTACTTTAAGCTTGTTTTACTATATTTTTACTTATTAATCATTATTACAAAAAGATAAAGTTAAACATTCAATAGAATTATAAAAATAAATAAAATACATAGCATAACCCAACTAATACAAAACTAACACAATAGTTAATTTAGAACTTACCTTTCTAGAGAAATCGCAACTTTTATCATAAACAAGATGCAGGGCAGCAGCATGCGGTGCAGGTGAACTTGGTGCAAATAGTACAGGCAGGGAACGAGACTCATTTGGTGCAAAGGACAAACAATATGTCCCCCTGGACTCCACACCCGGCAGGTCTATTGTAAACCCATCGCCAATTATATGGCATCGTAATTGTATCTTTTTGTTGGTTGAATTCCTTAAATTAAGCTCCTTCCTGCCACTGCGGACCCATGACATAGTGCGGTAAGTCGTTTTTATGGGAAATACTTTCGGTTTATCTGAACCACCTGTTAGGTCTATATTCGTTTTATTACCAGTGTGGGCTTCCTCGAAATATAATGTTCTGGAAATTAAAAAAAACTTTGTTGCTTAGTAACATAGGCTTTTAACACATTCAATGCGACCAATATGGTAAAATTTACTAGCATTGAATGTGTTTATAGAAAATTATCTGTAAATATGTCAAAAGAATTATTTCAAATAACTTTCATTATCAGACTTTGAGGTAAATTCACTAACAAAGAGGTTTTATAAAAATTAAATAAAATTATGCTATAATAAATAACCACAATAAAGAATTATTAGCATTGAACGAGCAAAATTTATTAGAAATTTATTTTTTATTCTAATTTTGACTTACCCTTCGACAAACTCATCTTGTGATCCTTTGTACGTGATAGTTAAATCTTTTTCAGCTCCCGGACGTAACTCCACTCTTTGTAACGACACTTGGAATGGTACATTGTAATCATTTAGCGACTTATGTTTAATTCGGATAAACCATGTTCCTGCCATGTTTCCGGAATTTCTCAATATTATAGTTTTAGGTTCTAAAAGAGAAATAATATTAATTTTTGAATATAGTATGTTTCAAATCCGCGCCACCCGCGCCTTCATAAATATAATTTACACAACTATTTATTGACATCTGTATTTATCTAACGACTAGCTGTCACCCGCAGCCCCGTTTGCACGGTATTAAAAATAAAATAAGGAGCCCATGTGTTCCTTCATCCTATGTTCTACATCTTAAAATTGCCAAATTTCAGCGAGATCTATACAGCCGTTCTGGATAAACCTTCAAGCATCCATCAATCCATCTAAACATTCGCATTTATAATATTATCAAAATTTTTGGTAGATCGGGGTCATTGAAGATCACAGTCTTATTTAAAACGGGTAATATTATTGTTCATATTATGTTGTAATAATTACCATTAGATATATGAAGTTTATGCGGCGGTATGTCGACTTGCAACTTGGCCGAGCCCATCTCTCCGTACAGGTCCACTTTATTTAATACATTTTTAATTCCAATCAAATTTATATTCAATGCACTTTTGAATTTGGCCAAAGTTTCATCTAAAAGATAAACATTTGACAATTTTATGTTATTTTAAGTGTTAAATATATGATCAGTAATTTAGTATTACATTAGATTACTTACTGCGATCCATTCCATTGAGTTTAGGTGAAGTAAACACGACAGAGACTTTAATTGCATTACCACTAGTAAGTCTACACAACTGTTTATTCAAATTCTTTCCCTTCGTCTTTCCCATCTTATCCTCTTCAAAATCACGTTCCATTAATACTTTGTTTACTTCACTCTTGCGAATTTCTTGAACATTTTTTATAGTAAACACATCATTGTTTTCGATAATTGACAAATCTAATTGTAAATCTACGGGACAATCACTTATAATGATAAAGAATTTTGTTGTACTACAGTTTTCTTGTACTGTTGGAAAAATAACTTTGTTCATCCCATCCCCGGATATTGCTTGTATTGTTGGCATTTTGAAATCAACATCTAATTTTCCAATTTGTTCTATATCTGCGTCAACTGAGGCGTCTCGCAGACATACTTTGAATTGTAAAGTCGTGTTCATTTCTACATTAGATGTTATATATAACTTTAGTTGTTCCGTCTTCCCCGGAGACAGTAACAATGGCTGTCGAGGCAGTTCAATGGTTAAATCTTCGCCATCGTCTGGTAAATCGATGAAATGTATTTTAGTAGTAAGCCAACTGTCTGAGAGTGTGGTGATAGTTATTGTAGCATCACGACTGGTACCTGAAACAAAATGGAGTTTATATAGTTTTAGACATCTTTGCAGAAACATATTTTAATT